ATGAGACCTTTTACCTTCTACAACTAAGCTACCTCCTCCCTCCCACACAGCTGTGAAATGCAAATGGCACTAGGTTAGATGTAATGTATTAAGGTGAAACTGTACTGACTATATGTTTATATATATTTTACAAATAATTATCAGTGTCCACTTGGTCTGCAATTTCTAAACCCCAACAAAGCTGGAGAGATGGCTTAAATAATGGAAGCCCTCCGGTCCAAATATGTTCCAACAGTGACTTCTAATGGTGGTGAGAGAAAGATCTTGCAAAAGGCGATCTTTGACGGACACCAATTAACAGAGGAACGAGCTTGGAATTGGCAGTGGGCAAATACACTGGCTGAATCTCCATCAGAGCGCCTAGAAGGAATAACACCAGCCTTTGCTGACTGGCACTTAAAGAAGATGTTTCTTGGGGTATGTATGTATTCGAAAAATTGATGTTAACAATAAAGTTTATGAAAACAAAACAGAACAATTCCTGCGTTATCAAGGCATACGTTATATTTTAAACACATAACAAATAAGGTTGCTCTGAATATCATTAATTTATATTCTTTTTCTTGGCAGCTGTATAATACAAAATAAACAATCATATATCATGGGATTGGAGCCTGTATGATTAACCTACAAAGAGTTTGATGTTATTTTAATGTTTTCTTTAAGCAATATTGTTACTGTGTATTCAGATCTTCAAGCAGCTGTTCTTTAAGGAAGGTTCAGCTGCTGAGATGGGCACCTCCTGTGCATTAATGAATCGAACAGGGAAGAGCAATGCTAAAAGGGGTACTGAAAAGGATTACAATGCTTTCAAAGATTTCATTGATCGTGAAACTGAGGCCCATATTATTACAAAGTGGATGCTATTTTCTGGCATGACTGATATGGAAGGAATTCTTCAAAGTTCCTTTAATAATGCATTCAAACACTTAGTTCTTGACAAGTCATGACAATAAATTATTTAAAGCCGACAATGACACTTAATAAATCCAATTTAAGCTATATTATTACATAAATTAGCTTCATGACATTATATTGACTGCATGGCTCTGGTACAGCAAAATAGCACTGGTACTGACTAAATATACTGAATATGTACTCAAAAATTTTAATGTTATTAATATATTTTTTAACAAGTATATATTTTTTTCATCGAAATTTTTTTGGTAGGATCTCCTAGTAAGAGACCCATTCCAAACACAACCAACTGAGATTTGCAGATGATACGAGAATAGCTCTGCAAAGAGACACAGACCTTTTTAGATGGATTGTTCTTAGGAACTAATGTCTCAGAGAATGTCATTATGTTAGATGAGGCATACAACCAAGGATTTTCTTGTAGAGATGGGATGTGTGGTATGCAGTTTTTGACTTCATTCCACGAGAGTAAGGCACTGACCTCAACACAGTCCACAAATGGAAAATTGATTGTGCTAAAAAGATTATTGCAACATACATTTTTGCTTCATTTAATCTTTGGGGAATTTAAAGCCATTTCTGAGGGTTTGAGACTTCCAATAATTTTTGCATTTTAAAATGGAAATTAAAATTAATTTAATGCCCAGTAATTTTTTATGATGAATTAGGCATGAACAAGAACGACATGGCTTGATTATCAATGATGGAGGTGATAACAACAGAGACAAGTATGGTTATTACAAGTGTCAAGGACTGTGTACTCTTGTCTTTGCTACAAATGCAACAAGGAAGAGGTGAAGTATACACCCTTGGAGACAATTTTCACCTTCAACCCATTGACTCTCTTACAGTATTGTCCAATTCTTCAACTGCTTTCAAAAACGTACAGACGGCAAATGAACTTCATGTTCTTTGAAATTGTTACCTACAGGCATGAAAGTGTGCAGCATCCTGGCTTAGAAGTAGCCAATGATACTCAACCTGAGGACCAATTCAGTGAAGACTCCCAGAGTGAAAGTGATAGAATTTTTCATTAACACAATGCCAGACTGCAACTAGGATTGCTTTTTATGGATATTGTAGATGCCATAAAGGAAGACGATGGCTTTAGACTTGTCAATTGTTATAAGTTTGTACTTTTATTTGCATACAAGTTTAAGCATACCAAGTATGCTTATGCTCTTCTGTTATTTTTTGTGTTAATCCGTGCAGTGCTTTCTGAGGAGGAGTCACTTTGTCTAGATGTTAACAGGTTCATCAATTCCATGGGCAAGAAGGGAGGAAACATTCCACTAGATTTGTTTCTGGAACAATTAAATCTTTTGTTAAAACGTTTAGGTAAAGGGATGGGAGGCAACATGACCAATTCATCACTGCAGCGTGCGGCTCATGTAATGCAGTCATTTGTGCCACTTAATGATGTAATGAAGGGGATCTATGACGACTGTTCAAAGGTTAAAAGAAGTGGACATCATGGCAGCAAAAACCCAGAGGAAGCAGTTGAAATTATTTTAAACGATTTGCTTAAGGGAAAGGTTTTGGAGAAACTGCCTGGAAGGTCTGGGTATCCATCATTTGCAAAGTTTAAATCCAATGTCTTGGACCTTGATTACAGAGATTTCTTCCAATGGTCAAGGGATAAGCTTAAAGAGTGGAAAGGAATCTATGAAGTTGCTGATCACTGAAATGTAAAATGTAAACGGGGAATTTAATATTGCTTTAATACCGGTAATTGCATGTAAATACAGTAAGGGTTAATATTATTTAATATGGTATTTACACAAAACAGGTAAATACTGAGAGTTGACGATCAAATTCCTCCACCCTTCCTTCCTCCCATCAAAGTCACATCATAGGTTAAACTACAGGACTGTGACAAATGATCTTTATCAAGTATAGATACAGTGAAGCCATAACTCTAACTTAGCCAAATAGATTGTAGAATGGGTTTTGTAGCCCACAGTCTAGTACTCAATGACTTTTTCTCACAAATGTCTTTAATTGCCAGAGGTTTGTAGGAGGGGGGGGGGGGGGGGAGGAAAGGGCAAAACTGTTTTTATTAAAAACTTAAAATGAATTGGAAAAAATATTTTTAAATACTTTTAAAGTATTCGGTTGTTTAGGGATAAATTTAAAAATTAAAATTTAAATACAGCCCTTTATTTGCTGGAAGAGTGAAAAAAAATCCCTTTTTTTTAAATGTGGGAACAGAAAAAAAGAAAACTCCTTTCCAAAGCTTAAAAGAACAGGT